GTGAGGAAATCAATACGAGAACTCCCGGCCTCCCGGTTTTCGGAAGGCTTGCCGCTGTGTACTTTTGAGGGCTGAGATCGCCCAGCTGGCTCCGCACCGAAGTCAATACTAGAACTCCCGGCCTCCTGGTTTTCGAAAGGGGTTTGCCTCTGCACCCTTTTGAGGGCTGAGAGAGACTGACTGGCTCAAGATCACCTGGCCTCGTGCTGAAGGCAATACTAGAAATCCCGGCCTCCTGGTTTCCAGCCTGGTCCCTTCACTTACCAGGCACCAGTTCCCCTTGATCCAACATGCGGCGCACGGCTCCGATGCTCGTCCCGTGGTAGGCCATGTGCCACTTCTTCGAGGTGCTGGCCACGTCCAGGCGGGGGTTTATTCTACAAGGAATAACGGGTGGGTGGGAGAAAACCCGGAGGGTCCCGGAACCAGGAAGAAGGAAAATCCTCCTTAAACGAGGCCTGCGACAGCTTCATCTTCATGCATACTTAACTTATGACCACAACAGAGCCCCCAATGGCCATCACTAAATGAGACGGTTGTTAAGTTTTGCAACCGTTTTACAACCTTTCTTGCCGCGGCCGTAAAGCGGATCACGGTAGGCAACCGGCCGTTGGGACTCCCGATAAGCAAAGCCCCTTTGCTCCACCTTACGACCTTCCTTAACCCCGCAGGGGTTAAGCCGATCACTGCGGCCGCTAAGTGAGTCGTGCGGTCATTAAGCAAAGCTGGCTTCCCCGCTGCTTGTCAGTTGGTTGCAAAAGGGGGAAATCACTGCGACCATCGTAAATAGAAACCAGTTGCCAAGGTCGTTAAGTGTGAAACACGGTCCCAAGTTCCCTTTCCCCCACCCCAAACTACTGCTAAGCGAGCAGTCATAAGCAGAGGACCACCCCGCCCTGCCCCTAAAGGTACCTGAGGCTGAAGTGGCACCACCCGAAGGGCAAGGCGTAGTCCCGGGGGGGCTCCCCCCGCTTGTAGTAGGCCTCGTCCCCTCGCAGCTTGTGGCACGACTCGCAGTAGCAAAGGCTCAGCTTGGGGTCTTCGGCGAAGTAGGCCTCTGGGGGGGTGAGATTTAGGGATATTGGGGGGAGGGGAAGAACACGGTTGGAAGGCGGCCCAGAGGAGTCCGGACAGGAATTCGTTCGTATTTCTCGGTGTGGGATCTGTGTGTGTGTGTGTGTGTGTATTTTTGGAAAAAGGAAAGTTTCCATTTCGTTTTATGATTTCATGGAATTGCATTTCATTTTTTTTTAATTATTATTTTAGAAAAACCTCCAAATCACCCTCAATGACTTTAGGCAAGTTGCAAAGAGAAAAGCCCAACACCAGAATAATTAAAAACACAATAACCCCTAGCTATTTGAAGAAAAGATGCATGCATGTATGTATGTATGTATGTATGTATGTATGTATGTGTGTGTGTGTCTATCTATCTATCTATCTATCTATCTATCTATCTATCTATCTCTATCATTTATCTATCTATCTCATATCTCTCTATCAATCATCTTTCTACCTATCTATCATTTATCTGTATCTATCTATCATCTATCTATCTATCATCTCTCTCTATCAATCATCTCTCTATCTCTCTGTCATCTATCTATCATCATCATCTATCTATCATCTATCTATCTATCTATCTTTCATCTATCTATCTATCATCTCTATCTATCAATCATCTCTATCTATCTTTCATCTATCTATATCATTTATCTATCAATCATCTATCTATCTATCATCTATCTATCTATCTATCTATCTATCTATCTCTATCATTTATCTATCTATCTATCATCTATCATATCTCTCTATCAATCATCTTTCTATCTATCTCTCTATCATTTTGTATCTATCTATCATCTATTTATCTATCATCTCTCTCTATCAATCATCTCTCTATCT